TGGAGGCTTCCAGATGTACTGCTCTCCATTGCCCATAAACATCACTTCCTGTCAACAGAACAAGGAATTACATTTGGGGCAGAGCTGGTCACGTGTTCATGCATGTCTATTAGTATTTGTGAATATAAATAAAATCAGACCCAGTGGGGTTCATAAAGGATATAATTAACCACTTTTAACATGCAGAAGTATTGTAGCACAGAGCTGGTGTTAGTAATGTAGTGGATGGATTTCATAAAGTATTGAAAATATTTTCCCTGGAAGGTGGGGCTGAGGAACCATGTGCTTATATTCTGGATGACTCAATTTCAACATGTTGCGTCATCCACAAGAAAGCCAGTGGTGAGCCGCCCTGCAAGCAGACTGTGTACACATGTAAGCCTGTGAACTGCGTGTGTTACTGAACTCAGGTCACAGCAGAGAGTGTGACCTTGCTGACCTCACACAGGGCAGCAAATGGTCTCCAACTGTCACCTGGAGGGGAGCACAAAGCCTTATAGGCACGGTAAAAGCAGACAGTCTTCCTCCACTCCTGCTGCTGCGAACATATGGAGGAGGTGACACTGCTGAGAGCAGAAATATCACCAAGAACTCTACGAGAAATAAACACAGCTTACTGCCCGGGACTTCAAAGAAATGCCTACAGAAGTGCGACCATATCACAACAGCACGCACGATGTAACTGAGTGCGGAGAAAACTGCAACACTGGCACAATTACAAACCGTGTAGATCCTCCGCAGCATCAACGGGAAATCTGACACAAATACTCTGCTCACTGTACCTGGACTACAACCTGCATATTAATCTGTCATACTGACGCTGACAATAAACTACAGGATGAAACATTTATCACAAATTTGTAGGTCGATACAACCGACAGCAATTATCTGACCACGACAATCAAACTTTTCGGGCAAACTAACCTGAATGTGATTGTTTAAATTCTTGTCTATGTACTTCTTGTGTTACTGAAGGGTTCCAGAGGGTGCACCAGATAACTCAGACGATGTAGATTTGCATGATGTAAACGTCTGATGGATGGTGGATGAAACACGGCATTGGCATTGTCCCAACTAAATTTTTCCAACCTTTTCTGACGTGCACGGTCTCATTTATTTTTGCAGGTTTCCAACATTACTTCGAAAATGGTACCAATCTGTCACCAGCTATTTTGATAACCATATTTGTAACTCTGCAGCGGCAATGACACATCGTTAAGAGGCAGGTAATTGGTTCTTCTGCCACTGTCATCACGTGCCTACTGACCCCTACACTGCCCCTATCATTCATCTGCATATTGCATCTTGCGGACACATAGTTAAAATTTTTTGAGGACGTGCACAACTAACACTGGACGCAGGATATGCGAGGCAGCCATCATGCGCACACAAAACATGTAGTTAAAAGCTTAACGGCCAGTATAAAGCCCAGTATGCCAAAACGCAGCCAGCCAACGCAGAGGTCAACAACAAAACACACAGGGTCGTGCTAGCAGCTCTGAGACTGTACTTGGGCACAGTGGTGCTTTGAGCTAAATGCTAACATCAGCATGCTCACAGTGACAATGCTGATGTTTAACAGATGTTCACCATCTCAGTTCAGCGTGTTAGCATTGTAACATTTGCTATAGCACCAACCAAAGTACAGGACGACATGGATGTCTGTAATAAATTTACCTTACAGTCAATCTCATGGTTGCTTAGACATTTTTATTAAAAGCTACAAATGTCAACCTCATGGTGGCGCTAGAGGAACAGTCAGGGGATCATTAGGGTTCATCTTCTGGGGAACACGAATATCTGTTCAACTCAGCCTTAATCTGCTTTGTGCCATTATTGTTTTTGTGCCTTGTAACATTATATCAGAAAGTTTACCTATTTCCATTAATAACCAGTTTATGTGTTATTCATGTGGGAATTTGGTCCCATTTGAGTTCCATATGACATGTTTTTCTACCCTTAATATAATCTCTTCTAATCTCAAAACCTAATCCAATCTTTACGAACCCATTCTCCGCTTATTAGATTTCTACTGCATCCTCATCATCTTCATGAGCATATGTTGTTTGCCCAGTTGTCAACGGATAAGATGCAGCTGAAAGCTCTGGAAAAAAGCTGTTAGTAAGTGCACATTTTCCTTGTGTAACTACTGTATATATCGAATGTGTGAAACCTACCAACATACCAACCTTTGGGAATGAAGGGACATTGAAGGCATCCATGTTTCTACGGGGCAACTTTGTGCTGTGAGGGTGTGGTGGAGGAGGGGCGGGATGTGACGGCGGCGCGTGTCGTGGAGGCGGTGCCGGTGGCTCCCCCATATCTGTCCCGCTGTCTCTCTTTTGGGGCGCCTTGTCGGCCTTTCTCAGCTTCCTGACGCAAGCGTACTCGGCCGTCTCCGGTGGATGAGGGGGAGACATGACCTGGGCCTCCGGTTCGGGCAGCCCTCCTTCCACATCCCCGTCTGGGTCTGGGGGTGCCGGGGTGTTGGCAGGGACGGCTGGAGGGGCCGGAGTGTCCGTCTGCCCGGCCCTGCCTACCATGGCGTACAGGGCATCGTCAGTACGTGTGGTGGAAGAGCGTCTGCCAACTTCTGAGTAAGTGTGCTCTCCGTCCTCTCCAGTCCCAGAAGGGATCTGGGGAAGCTGCCTGCCTTGAGAACGGAGGTCAGAGTTAGACCGGCAGCTGAGCAGCAGCAGAGGGTCCATGCTTGCTGGGCGGCTCTTTTTAGACGCCTCTGCAAGGCACATACAGGCCACAAACAGGACGCCCACCATAAAACAGAATTCACATACTCCTCCTATACCGGACACTTCAACAAACATTTGTGAAGATGAATAAATCTCTCTTGCTGACAGTAAACTGGGAGCTGACGTAGATGTTTGAGAAAATGCGTCCAAATTGACTTCATTCCACTGCGGTGGAAGCGGGACAAGTATGAAGCAGGACATATGCTTATATTTTCTTCAAACCCTCTCAGGCTACTGTCACAGTGCCCACAAACACAGTTCCCTGTTGACTGTCAGTGATGGAGCTCCAGGACTTATCTTGGCTCTCTGATTTCTGTCTTTGCGAGAGAGAGAGAGAAAGATGCATGTTCATAAATCAAGATTGAACATTCCGGTGGAATAAGGCTGAGCCGTAAATGTAATGTGAATTCTGTTTTAGGGTAAATTCGTCTTCTAAAGGGTCCTTTAATTTTTATTACAAATAGGTTTTTGCATGAATTTAGGGCCCAGATCAGTTACTGAGCATTTACCTAAATGTTTATTTGCATTGTTAGGGGTTGGTAATGTTGTTTTCGCGGCATCCAAGCCTGAGATCAATGATTACCCCAAATCAGCACGCGCTATAGTTACATTTATTTGTGGATAATTGTTCCATTTATGTACGTATTTGTCATGCTATTGATTGAATTGATTTTCCATTTCTGCTATTTCACGGACTATATTGTTTCTGTTGGGTGAAAAAAAACCCTGTTACCTCCACATGTTTGTGACTTTTATGCTTTTAAATAAGCTGAAGGATTAAATGCTCCTGTGGTTGAGAATAACATTCAACTCAAAGAGAATTCGCCAAAAATCTCCTTCTCCATGTTTTCCAAAAGTGCTTTGTCATGCAGCTAAAAACAAGATCAGGTTTTCATTTCGGAGCTACGAGGTTTTCACCAGGCAGCAGTGAGTTCGGAGCACACAGGGTCAGGATTTGTATGTGAAAGATGCACTCACTTTTCCCATTGCAGTTCATCTTGTTCATCTCAGTGTCTGATTTACTGATGGACCGCAGCTTCGACTGCCTGAGTATACCCTGACAACACACACACACAAGGCCAGTTAAACACTAATTAAGACTGAAGAGGTGTCCTCTGAATGATATTGTTCCTTTGTGAATTGACTTGCTTCAGCTATCTCGGCTGCAACACAAACGAAACATGGAGGAGCGTGTTGCCTGATACCTACCATGTCCATGAGACGGTGTTTTCCGCCCTCGCCGGGAACATTGTGTGTCTTCCCCTTCCTGTGGTAAACACAACCGCTCTGTCACACAGGTTGACACTTACTACAGTGATGCACTTCTGTGTGTTTGTGCTTGTGCAGAGTTTGAGTCACTGTCCGTGTGTGTGTGTGTCTGAGTAATCTTGTGACTGTGTGCACGTGTGTGTGTGTGCGTGTATGTGAAAGAGTATATTTGCATATGTGCTGCCAGTGGTGGAGAGTACATTTACTCAGGAACTGTATTAAAATATTATACTTTTGACTTCAATATAATAATAATTATTATAATACAATGATAATTTTTACAGCTATAATTACTAGTTACTTTTCCGATTACCTTAAGTTTATAAAATACAATTAAAGGTGGAGTCAGTCATTCTGGAGAAAGATAGCTGATGGTTGAGTCTCATTCCCACATCGTCGAATAACAATGACTGGTAAACCTGGGAGCATGAATGCCATCTGTTGTGTTTCGCTCCAAGCCACTTTGTTTGTTTCTTATTCACCATAAACCCAAAGCGTCTGTATTTGACAACCTGGGAGTCAACTATCTATCTCCAGAATGATTGACTCCACCTTTAATTGTTAAACGTTTACCCCCATTAATCTCTCATAAAAAAATCCTTGTCTAGTTGGGGCTTGTCACGTTTCAGATCAATTGTGAACTAACTAACCTGTGAAAAAGATTAGAGAAAAGTAAAAATAAATAAATACAAATTTGTGAAGCTGACCCTTGTTTTCCTCTCCCATCAATCATCTCACAACCCCTCAGATTTATCTTGTGCCCCTCTAGGTATCTTTAATGATATATTATTTTACTGCAGTACCTTTACTACTAGAACAGTGGTTCCCAACCTGTGGGTCGGGACCCCCAATAGGGGCCGCCAGGGCTTTACGGGGGGTCGCGAGGCCTTTTTTTTTCAGTTTACTCAATGATAGAAAAGGGGTCCCTTAAGAAAAAAGGATGTGAACCACTGCTTTAGTACATTTTGCTGATAATATTTCAGTACTTAACACTACTTAAGTAAAGTACTCCTTCCACTACTGGTGCATGCATGTATAAATATTCTAAACGTCCTATAAATGGCATATGTGTCTCAGTGTGTGTGTGTGTGTGTGTGTGTGTGTATCAGGCATGCTCTCACCTCTGGCAGCCCACGCAGAGCACCACGATGAGGATCGTGACAACAAAGGCTGAGGCAGCAGCGATAGCACCCAGCAGCAGGACCTTGCCGTAGGGAGGAGCCGTGAAGTTCAGCCCGTCCTGCATGGAGGCCATGTGGGAGCGCTGGCGCTCACTTGCTCTCACACACTCACACTCACACCCTTACAACTCATGCACGCAGAGAAGTGCCACGGTCTCACTGGGATCTGCAGGCACAGAGTGGTGCTTAATTACAAAATTATCTAACCTTTACAAAACATTAAGTAGGTTAACAAAGCAGCGGAACCAGAAGTAAAATATTCATGGTGCAAAAAGCAGAAGGGAAGGAGCAGTTTGAAAAGAGGAAAAAGTGAGAATTCACATCCAGTCCTGAAGCAGTGAAGTGAACAGACATTACGCCTCCGGCATGTGCTTCTGCTTTACCTTGTTTGAGGGATTACTGAGATTTATGTGTCACACTTACATAGACATCAACATAAATGCTCACCAACAAACATTTTCAGGTATGTGTCTACAGTGTAAAACAGTGCGCAAGTACTTAATGTAATCCAACAGTTACACATTTGCAACCTGCTTCACAGCTAAAAGATAAAACACACAGTATATCTGACGTATTACCCAGCGCAGTTTCCAAGAGAATCCAGTGCTGATTTGTTTGTCAGGTAGCTTCTAACATGGGTAAAAACAAAATTTCCTGTGGTTTAAACCATTCAAACAAGAACAAACATACATATTGAGAAGGCACAATGAGTCACAGGGAAGCTGAACATGCCAGCAGGCAGAGTAACCTGAAACAATGAAGGAGACAAGCACAAAAGCAGAGCGAGCAGACAGAAACATCTTTCTTTTGCTTCTTCTCTGCTCCTTGCTGCTTGCCAGACAATCTCACATTTGGCAGAGAGTAATATGTTTCAAATAAACAATGAAAAACACAAAGCTGTAACAAAAAGAACAAACAACAAGCCTGTTCTAATCTCTGTCAAATCGTGCCATCTGTCTACTGTGACAGTCCGTCTTCATGTGTGTTTATGTGTGCGTTGCTCGTCTATCAGTGACACACACAACCGAAAGGCAGACAGCACGAAACATACCTCCTGGTTTTGTCCAAAGTCTTGTTGAACTGAAGTTTTCGGGACGATAATACTCCAAATGTCTCTTGTGTATTTATTCAGTTTACAGCTACAGATTTAGACCAAACTCTTCCTCACTCCTCCTCCTCCTCTTTGCTAACGATCAAATCTGACACTTGGACAAATTACTTTAACAATTTGCCTGTAGTCTGGTGAACAGTGAGTATTTGTTTCTGACAGTTTGCCAAAGCTGTGGACACCTCAAGAAGGAGAAACCAACACATTTGTGGACGTTTCTGAAGTTTTAGTATTAACAGCAGAGATCTTTGACGTCAGTGAGGCCTAATACGTATTCAAGCAGCCCAAGCATGAATGTCTGGTATGCTCTTCTTCATTCTTGCCTCTTGTTTTGTCCTTCTATACCTTGAGGACAGATATGTCTGTTGGTTTAAGCCGCACCCATTCCCACCTGGATGAATTTTGTTGAATTTTGTCATCCAAAACTCTACTACCTTTGCTATCTACTCCATTTTCTGTCGCCCCAGTGGGCTCGTGGTATAATAAAATATACTCCCCGGAGGCTGAAAGTGATGGATTATTGAAAAAGATGCAACTGTCTATTTCAGAAGTGTTTTGTACACCAGCTTTTACAGCAATGGTCTAATGGTGCCTGAAGAGTAGATTTTGTAATTTATGCCCACAATTTTTTTCGGACAACTACGTCATGTCCTCCCCATCCTGGGGGGGAAATCAGCTTGCAGAACACTGAATGATTAGCATCTGAGGGGATTCAGAAGTGCATATACCCAACGCCCGATTATAAAATAATAATAGTATAATAGTAATAAGGAAAACCCTTCTGTCTGTCTTGCCAACATATTCTCCAAATCTGGCTGTATATGATTATCCTGCACCATTGATCCCATCTTCTTCAAATATGGCACGCTTTATCTCAAGAGTCCCGTGACTTAAAGGGACAGTAAAAAACAGTGACGTGTCACCATATAAGTGCTCAGGGCTGTTAGGTAGTCTCTCTGATCTGACTTTTAGGTAAAGTGGTTGTTACCAATGATTTTACTGTTTTGACTACAGACAAGAAGAAAAAAAAGCAGCTTCACAGTAGAAGTCTGGTGCTATATGTTTACTATAAAGCAGCTTCATGAAATCTTTTTGTTATTGTTAACAGAAGTTAACCCTGAAGGTCCATCTGCACACACACAGAAAGAAAGATCAGCAAACTAGTATGACGTGACTCACACGGTGAATCTTTTAAAAGGTTCCCTTCAGCCCTCTGTAACTGATATTATAGTCCAACTGCAAACACATTAACATTTTATTAAAAATATAATGTTGTTGTTATTATTAAAATGAAGATAAAAGGTCTTTGGGAAAATTTCTGAAATGATCCTTCATCTTGGAGGCTGAAGGGGCGTGTTAGTGTCAGTGCTTGATGGACAGCAGCTGGCAGGCTGAGCCCCAGCAGGGGAATGAGACACAAAGTAAACAAATGCTGCATTCACGTGGATTCACGTAAACGGTAGACGGCAAACCAGATATCATGTTAGTGGATGAAAGCAGGACAGTAGCAGAGAATACTGGCAACAGTAGCAGAAATATGTGGGTGGAAGTGAGGCAGGCTGAATGAAGCCTGGTAACTATAAAACAACTACCTGTGAGTACCCACCTGTTACTCAAAGCGACTAATTATGCAGAACTTTAAACCTTGACATAATTTAAAGGGGTGAGTTACATGTACAGTTGTCAGGAACAGGGAAAATTAGCCACAGAGACCAAAACCATTTTCCGTATTTTAATATGGGGCCTTATAGAGAGACTGACTTACTTCTGTAAACAGCCTCAAGTGGCCGTTCGAGGAACTTTTTACTTACGTGTTTGTTTAATTTTTCTGCCACGGAGGATGCTGCTTGTTCAAGACAATGCGTTCATGTTTGTAAGTTAGATAAGTAGGATAATGTGTGTTGTTGTTCAGAGTCTCTTGTGGTGTGTAGCAGGCTGCTGTCTCTTCTGCCTGTGATATAATGCTGATGTTACTGCTTTATGCTAAATTTAATTAGGCTACATCAAAATAAGGTCTTCATCTACGTGGATTGATACTCTAACGCAGCTCAATGGAGGGTGTGGTCTGTTGTAGCCATAATATCACTCGTCAGCGCTGTAAAATCACAGCTGTCAGGATGCAATGACTGATCTTTCCTCTGATGTTTAAGTTTCATCTTTATGGTGAATGTATTCGGACTATTTATTTACTGACTTCACTCTTATCTGTACAGTATCTGCTTTTCTATTAAAACAGTAGAGACAGGACAGGAGTTTGTCAGCCTCTGCTTGGTAAGTTTTGGTAAGTTTAGGGTAATTTGCATTTCTTTTAGTAGATCCAGCTTTGAACCCAACAGTTCTCAGCATGAAATCTAATTTGCACCAGATTTCACACACGGACGTCTCGGTAGTTCTTTACACGCTGCTTGTAGTTTTCTTTGTAAATTCAGGTGCAATCTGACCACAGAACAACTGTGTTTCCTAATTCAGATTAGTTACTATTAATTGGATCTATCCTATTTTACAACAGTGGATAACCAACATAATTACATAGTTCTTTGAGCTTGTCTTAAGAAAGTCACTAAAGCAGTGAACATGTTTTCCCAGCATGTCTATCAAAAGCGTTTTAAAGACTGTGACCTGCTTTTAATTCCTCCACCAGCACCTCAACTTTAACAGAACATTTCCTGAGTGAGCAGTCTGAAATATTATGTTGGATTTAAAGAACCATAAGCACCTACGAGGGAATGATCATTTAAATTACAGCTGCAACAGTGTCAGTGTAATTATATCTGTGCTGATTTGACAACAGAGCCGAGGAGTGGAGATGGAGAGGGTAATGAGAGAGAAGAAAGGGGAAAGGTGTAGGTGTGGAGGAAAAGAAAGGAGAGAGAGAGGAGGGGAGGAAGACATGCGTGGGAGTCCTGTGGCAGGTGTTTGAAGACGCTGAAAGCTAATGATGAGAAGAGGCTGTCACATTTCCCAACAAGGTTTCCCGGCTTTCCTCCCGTTCCCTGTCTCAATGAGTGTGTCCACACCTCCCCACCCATTCTTCTCTCCCTCTATCCCCCTGCCTCTGCCTGCGGTGTTCAGCCACAGTGACGCCTCAGCACTGCAGTGTAATCTCTGGCCCTAGAGCTGCCTCGTCAGAGCCAACCAATTGGACGTTGCGCTCAGAGCAAGAGCAAGAAATGACCCTCCCCCGGCTGCTTTCCTGCTAAACAAAGCCCCCTCTCCCTAAGCCACAGAGAGCCCCCCCCCTACCCTGCCTGTGGTGCTCAGTGTGCTCGTTACAAACTACCAGCGAATACCTGCAGGTGCAGATTTGCCAGGTGTTGCCCTGACCGTGTATCACAGACCAAAAGGCTACTTACACTGACAAGGGCCCATATGTGGCATGGAAACTGGAGCATCATCGATCATTAATGTTTGCTTTCTTTACCGAAACACGTTCATAATGTGTGTCAATTAAAACAAAGTGACATAAAAAATACATAAAAGTTCATTCTGTACCTTCGGGGAACAGTGTGTGCAACAGAATGTCAGCAAATGAAGACATGTTTGAAAGCTATAAAAGGTAGTAAGTGGACTTTTGAGCTTAGGTTACTGCATATATGAAATTCCTATATGAAATGTTTTTTAGGGCATGATATGGTATAAAACAAACAATATTGTGATTATTTTGACAGATATTGTGATTGTGATATGATTCACAAGTAGTGGGAATGATAATTTTTGCATCACAATTATCATTTTCACTATAAAAAACTATTAAAATCATCATAATGTGAAATGTGTTGAGGTCTGTACCAAAGAGACATGTTTTATCTGTAGTGGTTTGTAGGTCAGGGCATCACTGCAGCACTACAGTACTTCATTATAATGCTGGGCTGTCACACATTTTACCTTTTGTTGGTTCTGCGATTTGAATATTGTACTTATTGTGCAGCCCTAGCTCTTCTTCAGTCAGAGGACCGACAGCAAACTTGGACTGCTTGTTTGGACGATTGTTTTCATTATTAATTCATCTGTCGATTATTTTTAGATTAATCGTTTGGTCTATAAAGCACCAG